TATTACTATAGTAATTTCCTAAAAATTTCTTGTAGAGGTGTAATGCTGAAATTTTTTTTTATTAGATGCTTAAAAAATTGAAAGAATGGCTATAATTAAATTTTATAATAGCCCGCTTGGGTTAAAAAATTTTATAAATAATGGGAGGGGTGGGTAAAATTTATTAGACTAATGGGTGGGTGGGTGGTAAAGAAATTCTAAACTAATGGGCAGGCATATTTTTTTTTGAAAACTATGGGCGTGCTAGGCAGACGGGTTAAAATTAAAACATAGGATGGGCGAGCTTATGATCCAAAAACTCTCCCAATGCAAACCTCTAAACCTAACTCCATGAAATTAATAGTCTTATTTAGGAGAATGGCCAATTTGACGAATCTTGTGTGTGATAAATCCGAATTACAGATATATTGTATGATTAGTGTATGTATGTATATACATGAATTTATATGGTATAGAACCTGTCACTAAGGCTCTTTCAATTTTAAAACATTTGGGACATCTCACTCCCACAATAACTAATATAATATTGAAACTTTAACAAATTACTTTAAATAATTTCAAATTTTGTAAGTCACTTATTGATGCATCTGGCAAGAATAAAAGGTATACAGCTGTAATATTGTTTACTATTTATATTTTGATTATATTTATTTCCAATAGATTTGAACACATCTATAAAGATGAATATCAGCAATAATTCACCCGCTATTAAAATTAGATTGGCCCTGTATAATATTATTGATCAATGAAGGTAGAAAGTTTGAACTTATTTCCAGTTTGAGCAAATATCTGACAAAAAAAAGGCATACTGATTCCTTTAAAAAACAACACAGATACCCGATTATTTTCTGATAAAGATCAAAATATATTTGATGAGGATCTGAATAAAGATTTTTTTTGAAGATGAACGCTTTTTTAAAAATAAGGATTATTTTTTAATTTTTAATAAATTCGCCCAACTAAAATTTTTGTTAATATATAATATAAGCCTACTATCCTTTACATTTGAACATGTGTTTAGCAGAGTTGTTAAACGCTATTTTTAAAAGTAGCGCGCTACCGCTATAGCTATTTTTCAAAAAAGTAGCGCGCTACCGCTTTTGCTATTTGTCAAAAAAAGTAGCGCGCTATTAGCTACTTTTTTTCAAAAGTAGCTTTAGCTACTTTTAAGCTACTTTTTATAAAAAAAATTTTAGAAACAAATGAAACAAATTTTTTTTATTTTTTTTTGCTTATAATGTAAATGTATAATAAATAATATATAAAAATCAACATTTATAAATATAAAAATTAGTTAGTTTAGATTATAAAAAATTAAGCAATATAAATAAATATTTATTTTAATTTGTTGCATTTTAATAATAATATCATTTCAATATTATCATCCCCAAGTCTAGAGCGACGATCAGAAAGTATAAGCTTTACTTTGCTAAATAATCTCTCGACACTAGCACTTGAGGGCAAGGAAGCTCTAAAAATATTTAATCAGATCAATTTATAAATATAAATAAGTTTTTACCTTCTGTTATGTGTCCAACTATCTGCCGGTGTACATACATAAGATATATCTGATAACTCTACTATTAGAACATCTTTCATCACTTTGAAGTTGTCGGCTATTTTATTCATAAGTGTCTGGCGACATAAAACTGTTGTGCCAGGGGATAAAGTTTTAATCATCATAGTAAATGATGGATTATCAACCAACAATGGCTGAACTGTGTCAATAATAAAATCAACAATTACTTTATCAGCCAATTTTTGTGAAATATTGGCATGTTTATTATCAGTTAATTTGGTTTGGATAGTATTTGTCTTTTTGAATGAAGATTCTCTTATACCAAAATTTTTTATATGTTTTTCTATTTCCTTTTAGCAATTGGCGTGAACAGTCTAATAAAATAAATAATATTATAATGTAAAAATAACAATTTACCTTTAGGTATTTCTTCAGGTTATAGCTAGGGATGTAAGACAGGGGAAATTTCCCATATTTCCCCTATAGTTTCCCCAATTTTTATAATAGGTTTTTTTGCCTAAATCAACATGATTTTTATAATATTAACAGTTTCCCAATTTTGAAAATGATCTTATGATAATATAAATACGATTTTTATTAGATTTTATAAAATCATTTTTTCCTCGTGGTTCATATCATAAATTATAATTGTGTTTTGTTTTTGAATTATGTCAATTTCCCTATTTACATTTGCAAAATTTTATAAGATACTTGTTAAAATTAAATAGCTAGTCTGAAAAGTATAATTATATTATAAATAAATACCAATGAAATTTATAAATAATATATGAAATTTTAAGTTATGTTAATAGAGAATATTTATAGTAATTTATTTCACAGTTTTAAATTTAGTTGAAAATTTTTAGTATTAATTAATGTATTTACAGTCATCTTGACAGTGAGTTTAAGAGGATTGAACATATAATCAATGAAAAATTAAGCAAAAGTAAAAATTTGACTCTAATTAGTGATGGATGGACAAATATAAGAGGGGAATCCATTATCAACTTTATTCTAGCAACCCCCTGTCCAATTTTTTATAAATCGATTCACACAGGATCTAACATGCACACAGGTGAATATATATCAAACAAATTTATTAAAGTAATTGAAGAAGTAGGAATTTTAAAAATCAACACCATAATAACTGACAATGCAAGTAATATGAAAAAAGCATGGGCCCTTGTAAAACTGAAATACCCAACTATTGAATGCATTGGATGTGCCGCTCATGGATTAAATCTACTTGTAAAGGACATAGCAAGATATTATCCATTCAAATTTTAGTCACAAAAGCTAAAAATATTTAAAATCTAACAATATTCTTTTATCAACGTTAAAAGAAAAACAACTCCTAAGAAATAATAATAAAATTGTTTCCCTAAAGTCAACTCGTTGGGCAGGTATAGTTTTAATGATAAATAGCTTGTTAAAAAATAAAGATATTTTACAGGAAATGGCTATTCTTGATATATTTACTGATCGAGATAAGAGACTTACTCTTCTTGATAACGATGGGTTTTTAAATGATCTAATGCAACTATATAATTTTATTAAAGTCATATTTACGCAAATAGAGATAGTGGAAGGAGATAAAGCCAATTTATCTGATGTCCCTCAAGCGTTTATTCATATTAGGGAGACATTTAACGCTTATAAAACAATATCAAATATATTGTCGCAGAGCGAGATTTTAGAAATAGAGCAGTTTATCAAAAGCCGAAAAATTTTTTGTTGTCGGGACATTCATTATGCTGCTCATATATTTGACCCAAGGTTTTGTGGATTTAATTTAAGAGACAATGAAATTGCAAAGGGGTTGGATATTATTAACCGATTTTCTGGATATCTAGATTTAGATATTGCAAGAGTAATAGTAACCTATACAAATATCGTGCAAGGGAAGATTTTTTTAATATAGCAAGTCTTTGGCAAGGCGCATCATTTACAGATCCAGTGAGTTGGTGGAAAGGTTAAATACTTTTATATTTCTGTAAACAATAACTTAACTCTTTTTCTAATCTTAAAATTGTGTTATTCAATATTTTATTAGGTCTATGTTGCAATCAATACATATCGACCCTAGCCATACAAATTTTATCAATACCATCAACAAGTGCAGCATCCGAAAGAATATGGTCCTCCTTTGGAAATATTCATTCTAAATCTAGAAATAGATTAAAAAATGACAAAGTTCGCAAATTAGTTTATATAAGAGCCAATCTACATTTTATGGAAAAGGAAATTTCAGAAAATGACAAATTGCTGGATTCCAGAATTTCAAGCTCTGATCTGGAATCATTTTCATAAACGAAGATAATTAACTATTCAAAATTAATTGTTTAAATATTATTTAGTCTATATATAATATTTCAAATAAAACATGTAAAGTAATTGCAAATTAGTTGAAAATAATTTATATTTGTTTAATTATAATGTTTATAATCTATATATTTTCAATAAAACATAAAAAAAAATCAATATTGACCTGTAAAGTATTATAAAAAAGATAGTTTCCCATTTTTTCCCGTTATTTCCCTATTTTCTCATTATTTCCCGTTTTTTCCCCAAATTTCCCGGGAAATTTCCCCGAAATATAGTTTCCCGGGAAATTTACATCCCTAGTTATAGCTACTCGATTGATTTGATGATATATTTTTTTTAAATTTTAAGCACAGGAATTTGAATCCAGATTTTGTTTTAATATTTATTTAAAAAATTTTTCAAATCTAGGGAATGGGAAATCGTTATTAGAGCTATTAAGTACATTTTCTTCCATTGAATCTTCCATGTCTGAATCACTTTCAAGGATTTGGATATCCATGGGCTATGCCATTTTAGATTATTAACACAGATTGAAAATATAAATTAAAAATTGAAAATATATTTAAATTTCAAAATTAAATAATAAATTATAAAAATTATAATTAATTATGATATTATATTTAAATTTTCATGTTTATACTTACATTCATTTTATTTTTTAAAAGTAGCGAAGTAGCGCGCTACTTAGCTACTTTTAAAAAAAGTAGCGCGCTAAAAAATTAAATAATTTAAAAAAAAGTAGCGGCTATTAGCTATAGCTACCAAAAAGATAGCGCGCTAAGTAGCGCTACTTTAACAACTCTGGTGTTTAGCATGGCAAAAGATGGCTGAGCCCTGTCTTATTTATCTGATCAAAAAATATTTTTTAAAAAATCCAGCCAGACCTGAAAATATAAAACCTGGGCCAGGCCAAAAAAAATTTTCTAATAGAGCATACAAATTGAACGTTTCAACGCAGCGTTTTAAAACGCATATCAATAATTTAAAATACAAAACGCAAACGTACTCAAATTAAACGAATGCAATTAAAATGCATTATTTGCATTTTGAAACGCAGCTTTGAAATGTTCAATTTGTGCGCACTATAAAAAAATCAAGGCCAGCAGGTCTCTGATATAAATATTTTTTTAATTAAAATTTGGCAAATATCACTTACAAAATATTTGGTGTTTCAAGAAATGATCTTCCACCCATCTCTTGCGGATATTTAAACTTAAGAAAAAAATATAGATGACCCACCAATATACCCAATATTTCACTCATGGCACTATAATAATTTTTTAATTATTAAATTGAAATTAAAATAATACCTTCCTTGCAAAATCATATTAAAAGCAGCTAAAACCCATGGTAGATATATTGCCTAAAATCATTTCTTAATATATTATAAAATATATAACTATAGTAGACTTTGAATTGTGTTCCAAACCAGAATGAAACTATAACGTCCTTATTTAATTGACACCAAATATATAACATACTCAAAACCATAGGATCAAGAAGGAGCTAAAAACCATTATATACAAATGTTTAGATATCATAGGAATACCATAACTCTAGAAAGAAGGCCAATTATAACAAGTGAAAGCCAATTAAACATAAGCATATATAAATAATCTGCAGGTCTTCTATCATATGTTCCTGGAAGCATTCATGTTAAGATGTATTATAATAAAACAAAATACCTGTCTCTAATTGTACTGAATAATTATATAGAAAATATAACAGAAGTAGATAATGAAAGCCCGTTGCGGGAGATATGGGATAATAAAGCAAAGCTGTTATAGGTCTCCATAACTAATATAAAATAATAATAAATTATAACATTTGAATATACTTGAAAATGTTTGATTGTAGGCTCATATAATAAAATCATATAATAAGGATTTAGCAAACCAATTCTTCCAGCTAATGGAATAATAATTGATAAAGAAAACCATATTCTTGTGATCAATGGTATTCCTTTAAACCAATCCATAATATCATTTTGAGCCATTTACGAAACACGCAGATAAATTTAATTTTTTGGATTGATAATTATAATATACATATATAACTTGGGCAGATCAAAAAAAATAATTGGTATTAATTTAATCCGAATTCGGTTCTATTTTTAAAATATGTTCCATTGTATACCCTTATATTATATCAACAACTTTATCCTTATCTTTGGGTGAATACCTTAATATTACAGTTTATCTAACTCTTACCACTCACAATTTTATGATCGATATATTTCATATGCTTCTTTTTTCACAAAATCTATAAAAAAATTCTATTTTTTTATTATTACTTTAGAATATATTATAATAAAAAATATTTTACATATTTTAAGACAAAGATACTATATTGTTAAAATTAAATATTCTATTCTACATGCAATGCATAAATAAAAAAGGATTGTAATTATATTCTTAGCAAAAATTCAAAATGATACAAGACACTGCATAACTCAGTTGCATTGTTAGGTAGCAGCTTTGGGTGATAAAGGACCCTTTTTTTTAAATTAAGCACAATTATTGATTTATGCAGGATTAGCGCCGATTTTAAAATTAGCATTCAATTTTCAAATAATAAGCTAACATAAAATTTTAATCTTACAAAATTTTAATGCATATTTAAAATAATTCCTATTTTTGAAATGACATATATAATTTTGATAGACTCATATGAATAGAATTTTATTTTAAATAACTTATATTTTCAATTTATTTTGAAGAATTATGGAAAATTAAAAAAGACAAGGTAAAAGATAATAGAAACTGTCAATTTTGGAGTTATTAGAGGATTAAGAATCGTACCAACAGAGTAGTAGACTATCTTATAAGATTAGATGCGCCGCTTAACTCGGAAATAAAATAAAAAGAGCTTAGAGTGGGGAGTATTCGATTGCAAAATAGAGAGTCATGATCGTGGAATGGCTTTGGGAACCATTAGAATGTATGAGGAGTGAGTTTGAGTACCTAAATGAAAATCACATAGATGTAGACAGACACACGTAAGTATTGTAGGTGAATGATATCTTTCATCTTAAGTGATTATCATAAGTATAGTTTGAGAATCTAAATAAAAATAGCGCACATGGATATCTTCTTTCCAATAATACATTGCTTCTTTCTTAAAGTAATAATCCATATCAAATAGAGCCAAATATAATCTTTAGTAAAATATTATTACAAAAAAAGATTAAATCTATTATAAAGTCAAATAATAATAAAATAATTATAATTTAAAAGTTGCAAGTGAAAAAGCTCTACCCTTTTTCCAAACAATATAGTCTTTTTATATCTTTTATGGACACGATAATGATGCCGAAAAGGCTTCATTATATTTGTTGATTTAAATTAAATTTTTAAATAAAAAAAATCTAAACTTAAATTCGTTAAAACCTTTGAGCTAAAAGTATTTTTACCCTTTTGTTATATCATTTTATTTTGTATATAATTTTATATTAATGTATTTAAATTAACTAATCATTTTTGTTATATATATATGCATACTTTAAAATTTGTTATATTTTTTTAGTTGAAAACTTATTATCTATATTATAATTTTCCGATGTCCTCATACGTCATTGTGACATCATGTCATCACTTCTTCATGTCATCGCTACGTTATGTCATTGCTACGTCATGTCATCGGTACGTATTTATTCATTATTTGTTGATTTTATTAATTTTATTTTTTTTCAATATCTATACAAACAGATAATCCTATAACTTCTGTTATCTATGCAACTGTAGGATGCCAAAGTAAAACTTTACAAAATAAAGGGGTGAACTAATCAAAATTTAGAGCGTAAAAAATACTTAAAAGGGAACAATACTCAACCTATAACTTAACTTAATCAAATCTCTAAATTTATCAGCCAAATTTTGAATTTATAAAACACAAGAGATATCTTTTATTTAAAATTTATTTGCAAAAAATTCGTTAAAAAAATTCATCATCGTAAAAAAGATTAATCATGTAAAAATTAATATCGCAGAAAAAAAATTAATGATCCAATTTTCATTTTTACAAAAAAAATGATAATATCGAAATGTCAATCATTAATTATAAATAAAATAAATAATTTCCAAACTAGGATAAAAATGTCAACCATTAATAATAAAAAATAATAAATAAGTTACAAACTAGGACAAAAACCTTAAATATTCTTTTAATTTATCTTTACAAAATTTTACAACCTATGCAAGTACATATACCTAGATCAACAGACGTTATGATAATCATTGCAAACAACCGTTTAGACAACCATGGTAGACACGCACATGACCACATTATGACAATCAAAAATTTAACAACCAAAATAATTATCATTTTTCACGACTATAACTATGCCAGATTTCATGATCAAAATAGATGGGAGCTCCTTACAAAATATATTAACAATTAGAGAATTAATAATAACAATTATAGATATAATAATAATAAGCCTTTATGATTTTAAATACCACAACAGATTTTACAACAACAGACAACGGTTTTAAAATTTTATGGGTTATAATAGTTCTAACGTGTATCAACAATTTTACCATCGTGACAACAGAAATAACGTGGCTCATAATCCTAAACATAAAATGCCTTGCTTTGTTATAGAATAGGAATTAATAAATTAAAATATCAAAGCAATCATAGACATCCCCGAATCAAAGAATTCAGAAGAACTTTTCACTTTTTTAGGGCATGGCTAACTAACTGAAAATTTTTAAACAATTTTTAAGATCTGGCAAATCCACTATATAAAGTAATCAACAAAGATAAATGGATTTGGGATACAGAGCATCAAGAATGGTACAAAAATTAAAAACTTTAATCAGTCAACCTCCTAAATTGAACTTTTTCAATCTAGACTTACCATAGATAGAGCCCCTAATTCGTGTACTCTGCCCTTGTAATAAAATATATATGTCACTTTCTTTATATAATATATGACTCTCATTATATATCACTTTTTGTCAACAATTTAAATGTTTTAACAATAAGTTAATGTTCAATCATTTTAAGCGCAAAACGAAAATAAAATGTAATTTAAACGATTATATAAACTGAATTTAAGCAAAAACTAAGTATAAATATATATATAAATTGTGTCAATGATTATATTATTATAACCGTAAGACATTAAAACTTTGAAACTGAATTAAATATTATTAAAATAAAACTAAAACTTAAAATAAATATATACATTCCCTCATTTGTTTTATTCAAGTGGGAGGTTTTCTAATTATTATATTTCGATTGTTATCCTGTTTGCATATCTAGTCTTTAAGCCATCAACTTGTCATCATCATCTCGTTTGATTGTTTTTGTTATTATTTGATCATAATAATGATTATCATTATATTTTTAATTTATATCGAATAGAATAATTGTAATAAAAATAAATTTATTGATATAAATAATAGTATTCGGAATTAATCGGAATAAAATGAAGAATATAGAATAATATCAAACGTTGGAAGTATTATATATTATATTCATTCTTATGGATCAAACTTACTTCAAACTTTTTTCAAAATTTTTTTTAAAGATTTTTGCACTTTTAATGAAATATATTATTTATTACATATTCCCTCAGAAAAAGTCTTCGGCCCCCAAAAATGGCCACCATAAATTTTTCCGCCCCCCCCCTCAAATTTAAAAAAAAATTTTATAATTGATTATTTTTATATTTTTAAAATAAATTTTAAATATTTATTCGAAAAACATGTCTTATTTAAATTTCTTCCTATCCTGTTTTATTTTTATCCAATAATAAATCATCATTCATTCATATTTTATCATTTTCTTTTGTGTTTGTGTATAACATTATATAGGCGCTTAATTATAATGTTTAAATTGTATTTATTTCAATGATAATTATTTTATTTATTATGGTTCAATCACAATATTATTATCTTTTGATGGTCTCTGATATAGATCTGGGTGCAAATCATAAAAAATCGGGATTTTCTGAAGCTATTCAAGTGGTTACTCAAGACTTGATATATATATATCAAATACGTAATTAAAATAAAAAAGGTCTTATTTAATTTTTATAAAATTTCGTAATTATTGTGCAGTGTTGCTAAACAGCTCGATTTGGGCCGATTTTTAAAAATGGTCCGATTAAGATCTTAGACAAAATAATATTATCTAAGCCCGATATAACCAGTTATTTAAAACAGCAGTGAATATTTTAGCATTGTAAATAAAATAGTGAGATAACAACAATTTTGGTAAGCCAAAAAATTAATCGTAATCTTTACGATCTTAAATCAAGATTTCATAATATTTCTTAACATACAGGAGCTACCTTTCCGTGGGACTGGTTCAACGAAAATTACGGATGCTGCAAATGTAGAAAACATAATTTATTATTTCCGGACTATTTATAGCAATGTTTTCATACATTATCCAAAAAGATCCTGAATTAAATAAAATTACGAAATTTATATACAAATATGCGATATACATCACCCGATTTAAAACGAAGTAATATCTATTATGGTAGATATGATGCTTGATTATATTTCAGATAAATATAATAAAAGTGAGATGCCTTTTATTTTTCTTAAGGCTGATGTGACAAAAGATGCATCAGGTTTTGAAAACCTGAGCATAATTATATATTTTTTTTCTGGAGAAGTCCAAGAAAATTTAATAGGGATTATTAATTTACAGTGTTTTTCTCCTGAAAGCATTACTAATTGCATTTTAAAGCAACTTAATGAGTTAAATATTAATTCGACGAATATGATAAACCAGGCATATGATGGTGCAAATGTTATCTCTGGCCAAAATGGAGGAGTGCAAACCCTACTTTAAAAAAAAATTAATAAAAAAGTTCCTTTTATACATTGCTACAACCACATGTTGCATCTTGTGGTTCAAAATTGGTATAATAATATTGTTATCATTTCTAATTTTTTTATATTCAATGCATTGCATAATTTTTTAGGAGCGTATCCTGTAAATATGCAGGCCATACTCTTAAGAGACCTTTAGACCAGAGGTGGACTGGTCATTTAGAAACATCTCGCAT